GGAGTGCAAGTATTCAAGTATGTTCAAACTGGGAAGAAGCTGAAGTGATGTAATTTATACTATTCTCCTCTTTTTTGCTTCTTGGTGGATTTCTTGGTGTGATGCAGCTTCATGATTTTTTCCCATTGTCAGGATTTTGTTATGTTAAATTTGATGTTTTGTGTGCTTTTTATTTTATGCACTTTTGTTTAAAGTTTTGCTTCTAATCTCTTGAATTGGTTTCCACAATTTACATCTCACAACAAAAACTTGTGTAGACATGTAAGGGGCTAAAGGCTGAATTAAAAGATTATTTTAGTTTCTCCTCTTTCTCTCTCTTTTTCTTTATCTCTCTCACCTACTTGTGCTCTCAGGCATATGAGGCATTTGAGGCATTGGGAACAACCCATGAGAGTTGCTTAGCGCCTTGTTAACGATTTTTAGTTTTTGTGCTTCTTAAGGAGGGAGGAAAGTTTCTTCTCTCTCTATTTCTTTCGTAAGTCTGAAAACCATTTGAGCATGTCGTTCTTTCCAAGACTGTGAACTTATGTGTTTGGTAAGTGACATGAGATTTGTTAGGGACGCCAAAAATTTATCCGACACTCCAACTCAACCTGAACTTGCCTTGAGAAATACGGGTTTTGGTTGAATCAAATAAATTTTGGGTTGGGTTTGGGTTAGGAATACTAAACCGTTTAGGTTTATGAGTTGGGTTCGGGTTGACCCACAAACCCAAAATTGACTCGAACGATACCCACAAACCCGAGATTGACTCGAAATCTACTTGAATTTGTCCTGAATTTGACCCACATGGTTGTTCTGCCTTATGTTAAACAAGCTATATGGGTTGGCTTGAAGTCAACCTGTTGACGGTTGGTCGGGTTTGAGCTGGTCTTTCTAACCAATTTAATATTTAGGTTGGGTTTGGGTCATGCAATATCGAGTCGGGTTAATTTCAGGTCAGACTCATGCCTGACCCACAAATTTGAATTGACACCTTAGATTTACTCCATGTGCTTGTGGTTTATCTGGTTCTTTACATTGAATGGGCAAACAATCCTATGAAAATAGGACTACCTCCCTTTGGTCAAAATCACATTTAAATGAAATGTGGATTACATAATTCTCATGTGTTTATGCATTTAACACCTAAAATTTTATATTTATTTATATTACTTCTTAGCGACTAAATTACATCACAATCTACATGGTTTTTTTTTACTTTAGATAATTTAATGTTAGTGATATTTTTGGTGCTAGATATTTAGATACATAAGAATTCTGTGGCGTGCAGGTCAGTAGTTAAGAATCATTTACAAGGCAGGGCCTGAGATTATTTATTCATCGTGAGATAGAAGCTCTTGTAATTTACGCATGTCTTGTTATTTTGATCAATTGTTGTTGCCATCTAACAAATGTACATGAGAATATTCTTACACAACTTTCTCTATGAATGGTTAGGTGATAACAAAATCATCTACACAATTGATATTTTATGTACCAACATTTGTTATATTTCCATTGAAATATCAAAATTCACAACAAGTTCTGACACATTCCAGCACTGACATCGAAGGAAAGTATGTCATATTAGCATGAAGAATATGCAAGTTGCCACATTTTTTCATCCTTTTGAAGATGAGCAGGGAAGAAATAGCTCCCTTTCACATTGGTGTTGTGAGCTCGGTTTGGGTTGGCCTGGAGTGCATGGCTGAAAAATTTTAACTGTCAATTGACCTGTTTCATGAGGCTCTCCTACCTAAGATTAATGGGAGTTAAGGGCCTGCGGATATGTTATGTGGCTGTTATTGTTTTGTTAATTGCGTTTAAGTGGATTGTATTGCAGGGAAATATTACAAATGAGTAAAGTGCCAAAATAGTCCCTTGACTTTTTTACATAAGGTTGTTTAAGAGAGCCTATAAAAGTGCCTTATTAATCTCCAGATCTTTTAAATTTGGGCTGATATGGCTGCTTTGCAAGGAGCTATTCAAATTCTTCCGAAGGCCTATTTGGTTGCTTCGAAACAGAAAATGTAATTTTTAAATGGTAAATTTGCTTAATTTCAGTATTTGGTTGGATGTAAATTGAAGAGGCTGAAGGTCTGTCAAGTGTAATGTGTAATATTTTTTCCTTGGCAAAGTCTAGTTCAATATGGACCTGCTAAGAAGAGATATATGTGACTGTTAAACTTTTATGAATTGTATCATTAAGAGGACATATTGTAGTGACATTTATCTATTTATGCATCCCAGAGTCTATAAAAAATGCTTGTTTTCACTATTTTGTTGGTTGTATTTAGATGGATCTAAGTAGAAAAGGTTATGATGATATGTCAAGTGGTTTGTTCTCTATTTCTTCCGCAGGATTGAATTTAATGGCCTCACAATTTTTTGCAAGGGCTTAAAATGAAATTTCATGGAAGATTGGCTGAAGCACGCTAAGTCTGTCATGTTAACCGCCCGTCGTCTCTTTCATTATCATTTTTTCCTTAATTTCATTTCAATTTTTACGTACACACTACCTTGCCTTCTCTTTTTAAATGTTTTTATTATTATTTTTTTTGTGACGTGATATGAAAGATTTGGGTGGTATAAAAGTAGATATGAGATTACATAAGAATTGGGTGATATGTTTGTAAATGCCCCTAAAATGTTGATTCCGTGGGATTAGCTTTGCCAGAACAGATCAAAGGTATGCTGACCCAATTTCTTGAATTCTTTTGAGCAACATAACAAGAAATTTATAAATTCTGTTTTATTCTTGCCGCCAAACAACCTTCGAGAGCATGATCACTTCTGGTCAGCTCTGTGAGTTGTGCAAAGTGCTATGTATGTAAATATGAAAGTTTAGGTGTTAGATTTGTAAATGCAGAAAGAGTTGTGTGCTAGGTATATAAATTTCTCAATACTTATTACATCTCTGAGAGATGCGATCTTCCTCATTCTAGTCTCTCTCTTGTCCTTCCTTTTTTATTTAATGTTTAAATGCATATGAATTCACTAGTATGTATGTAAACCTTCCTTTTTTATTTTATTTTGTGGATTTTATTTCTTTTTCATTGAGGGAAGTGATGACGAAGCAGTTTGACTTTGAATTAAAGAGGGAATTTTTCTTTGAATTAAAGTTATTGAGGATGGATTGAGGGAGGGATTTTAGGTAACTTTTGTAAGACATGCATGGATGCCGGTAAAGAAGGTGAACTATAGTAGACCTGCCAAGCATAAATCTAAACTGATTATGAGAAATTTTTGCATCACGTCTTAACCCATGTTCAATACTCTATCATAATTTTAATGCATAACACATTAATTTAATTCCTCTATAATTTGCACCCTTTTTATGCATCCCCTTTAGTTTTAAAAAATGGGGACCAAAATACCCTTCCTCAACCTCTCAGACATCTTTTTAGTATTTAAAATAGTATTAAAGAGTATAGTAAGCCAAAAAGCTTTCAAATCTCCTAAATATTTTTAAAATTCAATTGAGATATTATCAGGTACGACTGATTTTTATTTTTTATTTTTCTTTAAAGTCTCTTCAATTCTCTTTTGACTAATGCGATGGAAAAAGTATAAAGTTCTATTATTATTGACGATATTAAGATTACTAAGATGGATCATATTTTCAAAAACTTCATTGAAAAGTTATCGAAATATCTCACCCATTTTTGTTGGATATCTTCTTCTAAGAAAAGCAAATTTTAATTATCATCTTTAAATATCTTACCGGAATACCAAAGTTTAAAACCTAAATTATCAATCTCCTTAGTCTTTTCTCCAACCCACTTAGTTTCTTGAATACATAAGATATTAATTTTTCTATGAATCATAATATCAACAAATTCTACTAATTTACCATTGAGAGTACCTATATTCCAAGATTTTATCCTAATATTAGTTTCATTAGTTTCATGGACTAACTTCTTTACTCGTATTCGCCCGTAATGTGGGAACCCTTGCTTATTTAACACTACACCTGGGTGTCGGTATAGCGGCCCTTGCGCACTTTTCACTGTATTCAGGCTATACAGCGCATCGCTTCCAGGGGACGCCCTAACACTTACACAATAATCAAAAGGATTCATGTCATGATTTTTTTCGACAAGTTTTACACTGGCTGTCGACTACCTAACGCAACCCTCCACTTTTCAATTATTACAAACAAGTAAAGTGCTGAAATAGTCCCTTGACTGTTTACATGAGGTTGTTTTAGAGAGCCTATGAAAGTGGCAAATTATTCTTTATATCTTTTAAATTGGGGCTGAAATAGTCCTATATCATATGGTTGCTTTGCAAGGAGATATTCAAATTCTTCCAAAGGCCTATTTGGTTGCTTCGAAACAGAAAATGTAATTTTTAGAATGGTAAATTTGCAAAATTTCGGTATTTGTTTGGATGTAAACTGTAGAGGCTGATGGTCTGTCAATTGTAATGTGTAATCTTTTTTCCTTGGCAAAGTCTAGTTCAATATGGATCTGCTGAGAAGAAATGTATGTGACTGCTAAACTTTTGTGAATTGCTTCATTAAGAGGACATATTGCAGTTAGGGCTGTTAAAACGGCTCGTTGTTCGCGAACAGCTCGTGTTCGACTCGTTAAGAAGCTCGTGTTCGGCTCGTTAATTTCGTTCGATAAGTTAATGAGCCGAACATGAACTAAGATGTGTCCGTTCGTGTTCGGCTTGTTTTGGCTCGAAATACTACTCATCAAGTTTATATATAAAGTAGTATTTTAAAAAAAATCTAATTGACTACAAGGATACAAAGACTTATAATCAATTAAAATATTGATTAAAAAAAAGAAATTATTAAATTAGATTCAAATGATTCCAAGAAAAGGCCCGAGGGGGACATACTCCCATGCTTGGATATCCCTGGCTGTAAAAGCAGCTCCAGTTATTGGAAACGTCAATGCAAGCTAAGCAACAAATTGAAATAACAGAAAGAAGAACGGTAATCACCACTCCAGTCATTCATAAGCACAAGTCCAAAAATGTGGTCATATGCCTCGCTAACATTGGCTCGTTTACACCCCTAATTGCAGTGACATTTATCTATTTATGCATCCCTGAGTCTATAAAAATGCTTTTTTTCACTATTTGGTTGGATGTATTTAGATGGATCTAAATAGAAAAGGCTATGATGATACGTTAACTGGTTTGTTCTCTATTTCTTCGGCAGGATTGATTTTAACGGCCACACAAATTTTTGCAAGGGCTTAAAATGGAATTTCATGGAAGATTGGCTGAAGCGCGCCAAGTCTGTCATGTTAACTGTCAGTTGTCTCTTTTATTTTCATTTTTCCATGTTAATTTCATTTTAGTTTGATGTTAGAGCGAAGGCTTTTTTTTTTTTTAATTCTAATAGATTAAGATCATTTTTTATACAATATTTCTAAGTTTTTGTAGGTCTACCTCTGCTTTTTTTAACATAAGTTGAATCTAAAACATCTATGCTCCTAATCGGATCGTCAGATTGTCGACATTTAATGTGACTAAACCATCTAAGACGACTTTCTCTAATTTTGTACTTCACAGGAGCTACACCAAGCTCCTGCTACACCAACGCTATCACGGATATATTCATATCGCATTTTTTCTGTAATTGTAAAGCCACTCATTCACCTAAGCATTCTCATCTCGGCAACACTTAACTTAGTTTGTGCTTCGGATTTTAAATGCCATCATTCCTAGGATTTAAGAATTTTGAGGTTTGAATCCTCTCAAATGTACTAAATTTTACTATGCTGGCCTGCCATTAAACAAGGTGAACCATATGAATGTTAAATGTATAATAATTTAGTGTTATGTATGTAAATCTTCCTTATTTTATTCTTAGATCCCAGTTCAGTTCTTGTTCTTCATTGAGGGAAGTGATGAAGAATTATTGCTTGGCCGTGAATTATTGCTAGGCTGCCATTAAATAAAATAAACCATGTGAAATTTTCATTCATAAGAGTTCAGTGCTATGTATGTTACCATTTTCATTTTATTTTTAAAATTTATTTCTTGTTATTAAGATGGAATTTTTTCTTGTAGTCCATGCGAGGCTGCTATTAAATAGGGCAAATCATGTGAAGTTTAAATATTTAAGAATTCAGTGGCTTGTATATAAATGCACAATCAATGTTCTTCCTTGCACTGGAACTAGAGTATGGAATTTTAAGCACCAAAGTGCTGTGTAGGTAAATATGAAAGTTCAGATGTGAGATATGTAAATACTTAAGGAGTGTGTGCTAGATATGTAACTTTTCCTTTTTTTCTTAAATTTTAGGTCTTTTTGGTGCAACTGCAGCTTATTGAATAATCTATTGATAAGTTGATTAAAAATAATCTAATGATAAGCTAGGTGCGGTAACTATTATAAATTTTTATTTTTTTGGAGAAGTTATATCTTTGCCAGTCACCACACTTAGATAGGTGCGGTGTGAAAATGTTGTTTTCAACGTTTTGAAAACGCATAAGTTGCCAAAATGTAGTTTACCCAAACAGACATATAGCATGCAAGGCTGCGATTAAATAAATTGAACCATGTTAAAGTAGGTGATATACATGTAAATACATAAAAGTTGGGTGGTATGTTGAGAAAAGCGATGACGATAAAGATGGATTTTTCCTTCAAGGATGGTCTTGGGGGGGCTTCTTAGGCAACCCCCTATAGACATGCAAGGTTGCCATTAAATAAGGCAGACCATGTTATGTTTAAAAATATAAGAAATCAGTGGTATGTATGTAAATCTCCCTTTTATATTTAATTTATAGATTTTGTTGCTTGTTCTTCATTGAGTGAAGTGACGTGGTTTCACCATCGATTCATTTTGAATTGAAAATGAAAATTTTCTATGTACTAAAATTATTGACGGCTAGCAGCACACTGCTTAGGCAACCTGTGTGGACATTCATGGATGCCAGTAAATAAGATGACTAGTGAATTTTCAATACATCTGAATTAAATGGTACGTGTGCTTTGTTTTTATTTATTTTATATTTTATTTCTTGTTTTTCATTGAGGGAAGCAATGAAGAATCATGAATTGACGGTGAACTATAGATGGTTTTTTTTTTCTCTTTTTTGTTGTATTGGAACTAGCATAAGGTTGTCATTAAACTAAAGGCTCATCATGTGAAGTTTGTCATGTATGTAAGGGGCTGTATGGCAACGGATGAGATTTAAGTTAGGAGGATTTTGTAAATCTCCTAAATCTGGGTTTAGATATCTTGAAAGTATTAAATCCCTAAAACTATGGCAACAGTTATGTTAAATCCTTTGAAGTTTGTATGCTCTTAAAACATTCTAAAATTGTCAAAATCTGCTAGTTTCTTCAATTCAATTAATATTTTATTTTAAATTATGATAATTAATTATCACATATTTAACTAACTAATTGATGGTGTAACTAATCAGTACAGAAATTGTTAGGAAATGAGCACATACTAAGGGAAGAAGTATAGATGAATTTAGGAGGCTAAGAAGGGAAAATATTATTTTTGATGGTGTGACTAAACTTTTTCAAATATCAATTAAAAAAGAGGGCAAAATAGCGTAAATGTTGGTTGCACTTCTAACAAAGAGATGTCGAGAACTGTACATACGTTCGTTGGCCTTATAGATAAGTAAAAAGTATAGAAACTCTAATACAAAACATCAATGTTTTCGCATTTTACTCTCTTCATCAATACTCTAAACAATATTTTTATAATGAGTAAGTCGAATTAATTCTAATCACCGCAGCAGCAATATCACTATTAATTTTTAAAAGGGATTTAGAGCACCGAAGTGTTATATTAATACCAAAGTTAGGTGTGAGATACATAAATACATAATAGGATGGTCTTGGAAACAAGCGAGGCTACTATTAAATAAGGTAAATCATGCGAGTTTAAATATTTAAGAATTCAGTGGTTTGTATGTAAATACCCGTTATTTTTCCTCACACTGAAACTACTGAGCATGGAATTTTAAAGCATCAAAGTGCTGTGTTGGTAAATATGAAGGCTTAAATGTGAGATATATAAATACATAAGAACTGTGTGTTAGGTATGTAAATTTTCTTATTAATATTTTTTTAGATTTCATTCTTGTTCCTTCATTGAGGGAAGCAATGAAGAATCATTGGTGATCTTGACATAAAGTTGGAATTTTTTTTTGCACTGACTCTTATTGAGGATGGGCTGTGAAGAAGCTTTTCAAGGAACCCATATGGACATGCAAGGCTGCCACCAAATAAAGTGAACCTTGTTAAAGTAGGTGATATATATGTAAATACATAAGAATTGGATGGTAGGCTGAGATAAGCGATGACGAATCCGTTATTGATTATGAATTAAAGATGGAATTTTTCCTCATGTTGAAATTATTAAGGATGGCCTGTGGGAGGCTTCTCAGGCTTATAGACACACAAGGTTGCCGTTGAATAAGGTGAAACATGTTATGTTTAAATGTATAGGAATTCAGTGGTATGTATGTAAATCTTCATTTATTATTTCATTTTTAATTTTTTTTTCGTTTTATCTTGTTCTTCATTGAGGGAAGCAATGATGATTCATCGGTTGACTCTGAATTGAAGATGGAAATTTTATTTGTACTAAAATTATTGAGGATGGCTTGAAGGATGCTGCTTAGGCAACCTGTATGGACATTCAAGGATGCTGGTAAATAAGGTTCTCTCATCTCGCTCTCTTCATCAGTACTCTATACAATATTTTCGTAAGTTGTAAGTCAAATTAATTTTAAACACGGCAGCAACATCATCACTATTATCAATTTTTAAAAGTGAAATAAAAATTTTCATGGGTAGATGTAAAGTACTGAAGTGTTATGTATAAAAAAATCAAAGGTGTGAGATCCATAAATACATGAGGGTTGTGTGCTAGGTATGCTAATTTGTCTTTATAGGTATGCTAATTTGTCTTTAAAAAGGATAATTTATATGCATAGCACACAATTATTATATATTTACGTATCTCAAACCTAAAACAACCCCTTATTCATTTTTTTAGTTTTTGAAATATTCAGTTTATTCGCAATTCCAGCATATATATATATTTTTTGTTGACTTCTTTATTGATCAACAAATAAATTCTTTCATCATAAAGTCAAGTGTTTCGTGATCTTACTCTTGCAAGAATTTCTAGGCGGCCTTTTGCTGTGGAGGCTTCTTACTGTTGCAATTTCTTCTGAAGAAAGCACATGGAAAACTACTCTCTTAACATTGTCATAACTTTGCCTCATAAGCAGTATCGTCTTAAAGCTTGTATTGACTTGTCAATGGTTGCAGGAATTATATCCACACTATTATTCATATGATTTGGCTTACTTCATCTCATAGTGAACGTTTTAATTGAAATATAAAAAAAATTAATAAATTTTGAAGCTTACAGATTGCCTGTGACATATAACTAGTAATTTAGTATTTTCATTATCTCTACTACTGTATGAGACATCGCACATGTATGAACTGTTACAAGTGGCATGCATTTGTTTATATAACTATCTATATACAACAAAAAATAATATAAATGAATCCTAGTTGGTTCCTAAATGGCAGCTATTTATAAATACTTAAAAGAAAAAATGAGTCCAAGTTGGTTCCTAAATGGCAGCTATTTATAAATACTTGAGCTAATTGATAAGAGATTAATATGTTAGCTCTGTTTTCCTTTGCTGCTCAGCTGTTTGATACAACAATGACAACAACAAGCCTTTATCCCATTAATTTGGGTTGACTACATGAGTCCTTTTTCTCCACCATGTCCTATTGAGTGTCATATTTTCATTTAATTCTTATAAATTAAGATTTTTTTTTACACAACATGCCCCAATTTTTTTAGGCCTACATCTACCTTTATTAGCATAAGTCAACTCTAAAACATCTACTCTCCTAACAGGGTCATCAGATTTTCAATGTTTAATGCGACCAAACCATGTAGGGCGACTCTCTAATCTTATGTGCTCTGCTGGTCGACGTCATATATATTTAATTTTCTATTTAATATATCAATAGCATACTCAACGTGTTGATACTTTTCTATTCAGCAATTTAAACTCTAAAGTAATTAAGCTTTTGTTGACCCTGGCTATACAGTTCCTGTTAGCAAATTGGTCGTCTGTCAGCTCGGTTTTTGTTTTGTTTTGTGCTTCCAAAGCTAAATTTTGATCAATATCTCGTCTTAGGAACATTTTTGTGATTTCCTCGGGTTCTTTTTAAATGCATTGATGATCTTGTTGCTAGGTAGTTTGCTATCATGATTCTTACATGTGTTCATCTTCTGCTTCCAACCTACCCTTTCATTAAAAAATTGATTCTTTGGGATTAAGTTGCCAGTACAGATCAAAGGTATGCTTTTCCAACTTACTGAATTCTTTTGAGCAGCTTACCAAAATGCTGATGTCTATTTTCTTTTCATATTTGGAACCGTTTTTTACAGGCTTTGAAGCAAAGAAATCTTTCAGCAGCGGCAATGACTTTTCTGATTATTGTTCCTCTTTGGCCCCCTTCTGAGTATGGTCCAATTTGATCACATCCAAAATGATGCATATTTAGTATGAGAGATTATGGGCGGAACCTAAACTCTAGACCCTAAAGTGTCATAATGGTCACTCATTTGTAATTGGTTAGATGTGAAACTTGTGTACATTTTTATTTTGTAGTGTTTTGCACTAGATATTTGTTTTTAAAGTATATAATGTATTGATATGAAGAATTCTGTTGCAAATAATATTACTATACAATGACAGAATGATTATTTATCTTGAAACAGCTATAACACAGTTGTTTTCAAACTGCAAAAAATAGTCAGTTTATCCGTAACAACTTATTATTAAGCTGCAGTTGTCTCAAAACAGACCCTTGAGTGTCAATTTTTTTTCATTTTAACTTTTCTTTTCATCCCTTCTATTTAGATTTTCTTTTAAATTTGATTATTTCTCTTATCTTTTATAGAGAATCATTTTATTGATAAAATAATATTAGTAATTTTAAACGTCATTTTATTCTCTTATAGAATTGAGCTTATCAAAGTTCAATAATAAATTTCTTTTTGAAAAATCATAGTTTATAAGATACTTATCGCCGTTATGTTATAACAATGATGATATGTTTAAATCTTATAGCCTACTAATTGATCAAATTCGTTTGAAGTTAATCATGTGAATTAAGTGTTTTGAAATAAAATATATCATTAGAATTACCTACTAGCTCTATTTAAAAAATAAAAAAGATTAATATATTAAGAAATTAACTTTTTAATTTACTGCTAATTAAATTTCTAAATAACTATTTAATTACTACTTCTATTGAGGATTCTTGTTTATTAAACAGTAAATAAGACTAAAGCCATGATAATTATCTTTAAATTAATTGCTTGAACCCAACTTTTTGAATAAATCAATAATTTCATTAAATCAATTGTTAATCATACATACATACATATATATATATATATATATATACATATATATATATATATATATACAT